ACACGGAGCCCAGGACAGACACACGGAGCCCAGGACAGGGATCCAGAGCCCCGGACAGACACACGGAGCCCAGGACAGACACACGGAGCCCAGGACAGACACACGGAGCCCAGGACAGACACACGGAGCCCCGGGCAGGGATCCAAAGCCCCGGACAGACACACGGAGCCCCAGGCAGGGATCCAGAGCCCCGGACAGACACACGGAGCCCAGGACAGACACACGGAGCCCCAGCCCTGCCGAGCCTCCCCATCACCGCTGGATGTCGGCCGCTCCCCGCGCTCCGGCGATGTCACTGCGGGCACTGCTGGGGCCTCTTTTGGTCTCTTCTTTCCTTCCCTTAATGAAGTTCTGCTTTTCCCCGGCGGAAGAGCCGTCAGTCACAGTGCGCTGTTTTCGGCCGGCAGCTCATGCACGCCTGTAAGGATTTTTATTTTGTAAATAGGATGTCCACAGCTCGCACTGACATTGTTATTGTTGTTAAAAATGTTCTTTGAAGGACAGCTGTCTCCTGCCTGTGTTCTGATGTGAGCCCAGCTGAAGCACGTTTGGAACCTATCTCCTGTCTGTTTCTCCAGTTGTAATGTCTTGGTTTGAGCCTTTATCATGGATCACTCGTGTTTCAGTGGTGGGCTTGGCAGTGCTGTCTTAATGCTTTCACTTGATGATCTCAAAGCCTGTTCCAGCCTGAATTGTTGTGTGGTTCTCTCCCACCTGGCTCTGGTTCCCTCCAGGCTGTGTGCAACCCAAAACCCAGCGCTTGGTGTAGCTGACTGAGGCTCAGCTCCCTGTCCATGAAGTTTCAAATAATAATAGCAGTTGCTGAATTGTTTTGGGAAGGTCTGAGGGCCCTGAAAGATGTAACATCCCAATGAATACAGTGGCAGGGCTGCTGCCTGGTGAGGGTGGCTGTGAGCACCGAGCAATGAAAGGACCTCCTGTTTCTGGTTCTCTTTGACTTGTGTGGCTTCCTCAGAGATATGCCTGAGTAGGAGGACTCAAAATCTAGAAAACTATTCTGTGTCATAAAACAGTAAATTCACTTTCTTTTTAGATGGGATTGCAGAGAAAACAACTGACCTTTTTTCTGGCCAGAGATATTTTCCATGTGACATTTCCTTGATTCAAATAATCTCCTGTGCACAGCTCCAGAATGACTTTCACAGTGGTGATTATTGTGAAGGTGTAAATCCAGTAAACAGTCTGTATTGCTACTGTACAGTTTCAAACTGGAATACATTTTTTTGCCCCAGTCCAGACCTGGGGCTCCTGTGGCTTGTCAGGAGTCCCTGTGAGGGCAGGAGTCAATTTGGGCAGAAATAGAATGCTCAGAAGGGTGAGCTGGAAAATGCAATGCTGCCTTTCCCATGTCTGTAACAACTCCTCTGTGAGTTCACCTGTCATTTTCCTAGGGCTTAAACCCACTCCATTTTTTAACCTTTGAACTACACGTATTTTATTATCTATTATAGTCTGTCACAGATACCACTATGGAAGGGAACTGAGTAGCTTTTCACCTCTGTAGAGGCTTTTTCACCTCTGTATCCTTTCTAAGAGGTTTAGAATGGTTGGTGAGACTCTTGAACAGTCTGCTGTGTAGCAAACTACAGCTTGGTTAAGTAGAGCCTGAAATACACCTCAGCAATGGGGGGACACCTGGTACGTGCAGCTTGGTAGCAGAATTTCCTACCCAGTGTGCAGCAGTGAATGGAGAACAGAAGGCAGTGATTGATTTTTAAGGACTGATGTTGAATTTCTTGAAATCACAATGTGGGATCCTGAAACTCCATGGATATTTATGCAGTTAGGGCTCTGCTTTTAAAGCTTAGGGCTCTGCACTTGTATCTAGTCTTGTTTCTGATGTTGTCTTTGAAGTCCATCTGAATTCTTATGATGCCAAGAGATGTTTTTCACTTTAGAGTGAAAGAGTCCTGTTCTGAATGTGGTTCTCACGAATGGGAGAAATGCAGAGAGCTGATATTTGTCTTTCTGAGCTCACTTTTCTGGAAATGAAATA